AGGATATTGCTCGATTTAGACCGGATCTCAAACTGCTTATCTCAAGTGCAACGCTTGATGCTGAGAAGTTCAGTGATTATTTTGATTCTGCTCCAATTTTCAAAATTCCAGGGAGGCGGTATCCTGTTGATATCCATTACACGAAAGCACCAGAAGCTGATTACTTAGATGCGGCAATTGTCACTGCACTTCAAATCCATGTGACGCAACCACCTGGAGATATATTGGTATTCCTCACTGGTCAGGAAGAGATTGAAACAGCGGAAGAAATATTGAAGCACAGAACAAGGGGCCTAGGGACAAAAATTGCTGAGCTGATTATTTGCCCCATATATGCAAACCTACCTACTGAGCTGCAAGCAAAAATTTTTGAAGCCACACCTGATGGGGCAAGGAAGGTTGTCCTTGCCACAAATATAGCTGAAACTTCGTTGACCATTGATGGGATCAAATATGTTATTGACCCAGGGTTTTGCAAGATGAAGTCGTATAACCCAAGGACTGGAATGGAGTCATTGCTAGTTACTCCCGTCTCAAAGGCATCAGCTATGCAGAGGGCAGGTCGATCTGGTCGAACGGGTCCTGGAAAGTGCTTCCGGTTATATACTGCCTACAATTATTACAATGATTTAGATGATAACACAGTACCAGAAGTACAAAGAACTAATCTTGCAAATGTTGTGCTTACGCTGAAGAGCCTGGTATTCATGACTTATTGCATTTTGATTTTATGGACCCTCCGCCATCTGAAGCATTACTAAAAGCCCTGGAACTGTTATTTGCACTAAGTGCATTAAATAAAGTGGGTGAGTTGACTAAAGTCGGTAGAAGGATGGCAGAGTTTCCTCTTGATCCCATGCTATCTAAGATGATAGTTGCTTCTGATAAGTACAAGTGTTCAGATGAAGTCATTTCCATTGCTGCCATGCTTTCCATTGGTAATTCCATCTTTTACCGTCCCAAGGACAAACAAGTCCATGCTGACAATGCACGTTTGAATTTTCACACCGGGAATGTGGGAGATCACATTGCATTGCTCAAGGTCTATAACTCATGGAAAGAGACCAACTTCTCAACCCAGTGGTGTTATGAAAACTATATACAGGTGAGGAGCATGAAGCGTGCTAGAGATATTAGAGACCAGCTTGAGGGACTCTTGGAGAGGGTTGAGATTGAGCTGGTCTCAAATCTCAGTGATTACGAGACCATAAAGAAGGCCATTACATCTGGCTTCTTCCCTCATTCCGCAAAGCTTCAAAAGAATGGATCTTATAGAACAGTCAAACATCCACAGACTGTCCATATACATCCCAGCTCAGGGCTGTCACAGGTGCTTCCGAGATGGGTTATATACCATGAATTGGTACTTACAACCAAGGAATATATGAGACAGGTAACAGAATTAAAGCCGGAGTGGTTAGTGGAAATAGCTCCGCATTATTACCAGCTGAAGGATGTTGAAGATTCGATGTCAAAGAAAATGCCCCGGGGAGAAGGGCGCCCACAACAGGATTGAGAACTTGAAGATAGTTGTATATATCACTATCACTGGTGGTTTGTTGGGGATGGTAGAGCAAAAGAAGCCTATAAATACAATTTTGTGTACCAGAACAAAACTGCATTTTCAACTAGTTGACACACTAACAACTTGGGGCTTATAGACTGAATCTTTTTGCAGTAATTACAGGAGAATCTGAGGGTATTCTTTTCTTACCGTTACGTTACAAGTTTAGTTGACACACTAACAACTTGGAGTTAGGCAACTAAGGTGTATTCTGTATCTGACAAATCTGTACAAGAATCGACGTTCCTATGTTTTTTTGAATTTTATTTGAGTTCTCAATAAATAAATAAAAATTATTCTTCTTTCACATGATATAACCCAATTTCTGGAAGTGTCATTGCTAATTTACTTCTCAAGCCTGGTTCTCCGAAAAGGTTTATACTTGAGTAAACCTTTTATTTGGGTGTGACTATATTATATTTAAACTGGTGTAACTATATTATATTGCAGTCGCTTATTGTAGATTTTCAAATTTAAATCTGAACGGTTTGAAGCTAGATTGCAGTTGATAGCCTTTGCCACATTGCTAAAACCTTGTCCTTATTAGTATTGATGCTTGGGGAAACTGGTATTGGAGTTGGGATGGTAGAGCAAAAGAAGCCTATAAATACAATTTTGTGTACTAGAACAAAACTGCATTTTCAACTAGTTGACACACTAACAACTTGGGGCTTATAGACTGAATCTTTTTGCAGTAATTACAAGAGAATCTGAGGGTATTCTTTTCTTTCCGTTACGTTACGGGTTTAGTTGACACACTAACGACTTGGAGTTAGGCAACTAAGGTGTATTCTGTATCTGACAAATCTGTACAAGAATCGACGTTCTTATGTTTTTTGAATTTTATTTGAGTTCTCAATAAATAAATAAAAATGATTCTTCTTTCACATGATATAACCCAATTTCTGGAAGTGTCATTGCTAGTTTACTTCTCAAGCCTGGTTCTCTGAAAAGGTTTATACTTGAGTAAACCTTTTATTTGGGTGTGACTATATTATATTTAAACTGGTGTAACTATATTATATTGCAGTCGCTTATTGTAGATTTTCAAATTTAAATCTGAACGGTTTGAAGCTAGATTGCAGTTGATAGCCTTTGCCACATTGCTAAAACCTTGTCCTTATTAGTATTGATGCTTGGGGAAACTGGTATTGGAGTTGTGAGTGAACTCTATCATTTTTAGAACTTACTTTTGGAATTTGAAAGCCACTCGGCGTATTTCTCCAGCTGCTTTTATTTAATTTTATTCATCTATTTATTCTTTTGCAGGATGGGGCATTAATATTAACTGAGTCACTGTTCAATGGGACTGAAGATCTTGTAAAACTTGACTTATCTTATTGTGGAGTGACATTTATTTATGTTCTCAAACTAAGCACTGATTCATCTATGATTTGTGGCATTCTTGAGCTGAACCTTTCAGGAAATCCTATTATGCAAGAGGTTTGTTCTTTTGTCTTGGTATTTTGCTAATTCTTTTACCTGTTGTGTTTGTAGTGTTGCTGGTTTCTCTTGCGACTTGCTTGCAGCTCTGTATATTGCTGGAGAAAGCAAATAATTGTGATTTTTTTTTTTTACAAAAGATAACGTGGTTTCATAATTTGTGGTCATACCACCTTCTACCAGACATTGTTTTACATATGTTCAGGTTGCCAATGACGATATGTGTCTGAAAATGGGAATCATATGATAAGTATGGGAGTTGAACATAAAAAATAGTCGATGTGTTTGTTTTATAGCTCCAATGCCTGTGAATTTAGTCTGCATACAGATGCATTTAAGTTGTCTCAATCAATAGCTGATCTAGTTAATGGAATTCAAAATTACATTTAGACGTGTTGCCCTGATATTCTTGAGGTTGTTTAATTGATGCTACATCAGATTCTTAGTCCAGTCCCCTCTCTCGTAGCCTTCCATTATGCATTATGTTTGTTGCACTTTCTCAGACCCACATATCAAATACACTGAAAGCAAAAACAAAAGAAGAGAGAAATCTTTGGTAAATATAGCCAATAAGAGAGGCATATCTTTCCTTTGAAGTGCTCAAGGCGTACCGATTCCTATTGGAATCCTTAAAGGACAAGGATTGGAAAGCCTTAAAGAGCCAGAAATACAACAGACGGGTCAATAAGACAAAGCAAGAGAGCAAATGTGACTTCAATTGCAAGCCAGGCCACTATTTAGAACAGACATGTTCACATATGCATACTTGCCTCTTGTGAAAATCTGCCCTTGCTTGCTCTTGAGGCCTCTAGTGGTCTACCTTTGCCTTCTAATACCACAAGTAAATTCTGCATGAAGGAGTGAACCCGAATGTAAAGGCTATGCATCGAATATATAAATATTCAACGATAAACTTGAACTGGCTGTTAAAAAGCCTGATTACTATGCTATGTTCCCTGCTCTCAATAGAATGTTGTCGTTGCCATTTTGTCTTTTTGCTATTTTGACTTGAGAAACGTGTTGCCCTGATATTCTTGAGGTTGTTTAATTGATGCTACATCAGATTCTTAGTCCATTCCCCTCTCTCGTAGCCATCCATTATGCATTATGTTTGTTGCACTTTCTCAGACCCACATATCAAATACACTGAAAGCACCGAAAAAAGCCAGAAAAAAAAAACAAAAGAAGAGAGAAATCTTTGGTAAATATAGCCAATAAGAGAGGCATATCTTTCCTTTGAAGTGCTCAAGGCGTACCGATTCCTATTGGAATCCTTAAAGGACAAGGATTGGAAAGCCTTAAAGAGCCAGAAATACAACAGACGGGTCAATAAGACAAAGCAAGAGAGCAAATGTGTTGCCCTGATATTCTTGAGGTTGTTTAATTGATGCTACATCAGATTCTTAGTCCAGTCCCCTCTCTCGTAGCCTTCCATTATGCATTATGTTTGTTGCACTTTCTCAGACCCACATATCAAATACACTGAAAGCAAAAACAAAAGAAGAGAGAAATCTTTGGTAAATATAGCCAATAAGAGAGGCATATCTTTCCTTTGAAGTGCTCAAGGCGTACCGATTCCTATTGGAATCCTTAAAGGACAAGGATTGGAAAGCCTTAAAGAGCCAGAAATACAACAGACGGGTCAATAAGACAAAGCAAGAGAGCAAATGTGACTTCAATTGCAAGCCAGGCCACTATTTAGAACAGACATGTTCACATATGCATACTTGCCTCTTGTGAAAATCTGCCCTTGCTTGCTCTTGAGGCCTCTAGTGGTCTACCTTTGCCTTCTAATACCACAAGTAAATTCTGCATGAAGGAGTGAACCCGAATGTAAAGGCTATGCATCGAATATATAAATATTCAACGATAAACTTGAACTGGCTGTTAAAAAGCCTGATTACTATGCAATGTTCCCTGCTCTCAATAGAATGTTGTCGTTGCCATTTTGTCTGTTTGCTATTTTGACTTGAGAAAGAGCCTTCTGTTATGTGGGAGTTTCTTGCTGAAATCCTACTCAACCAAGAGTCTGTGCTTTGTACTTAGTTTTACTTGAGGATTTTGCTATACTAGCCTGACTGAAGCCCCTCAACTATGAACACAGGGTAGCAATGTGTTATCGTCAATGCTTTCAAATTCGCATTGTTGTCTGAAAGTTTTGGTCCTTCAGAGGTGTGAGCTTGGAGTTGCTGGAGTTCTTCGAATCAGGTTCACACACTAGGCCAATTTAGTACTCAATATACTAGCCCTTAGAAATGAACTTATGAATTGTTGGTTTGATATTTTAAGCAGGTAATAATTTTCTTGAGGAGCTCAATCTTGCTGATAATGCCAATCTTAGTATATCTGAATCTTCTCCGGCAGTTAGAGTTGAAGCTGCTGCATCTGGTGGTGTTGATGACAACTGTGTAAGCATATGCCAAAGAAAATCCTTGTCTGCTGAGTTCCAGTTTATTTTTAGAGTTGAAGCTGCTGCATCTGGTGTTGATGACAACTGCGTAAGCATATGTCAAAGAAAATCCTTGTCTGCTGAGTTCCAGTTTATTTGCTTTCAACTGCCATTGGTATAGCAAATAATTTGCGATTTCTTGACCTTAGCAGTAATGGTTTTTCACAGAAAGTGCAGAGGTATTGTATTCTGCATGGTCAAGATCAAGATATGGTTCAGCTCGGAAGCATATCAAGGACCAGACAATCCATTTGTTCTTAGAGGGAATGAAATGTTGTGTGAAACCCTGCTGCAGAAAGGATTAATTTTCTTGCTTTGCTGCTACAATATCGTCATCCAAGGGAAATCACAAACAGTTTTGCCAAAGCAGCAGGGCCTGGTTTGTTTCTTGCTTTCTTTGTTTTTCTTGGTTCTTTTTTGTTTAACTCATAACTTACTAGAAAATATTTTGATGATGCAAGCAAAAGCCTAAATGGGTTTCTTCTTTTTATGCCTCAGAACAAAGGTTTTTTATTTTTTATTTTTTTAGTACAAGCAATAGGTGCCTAGGGGTCTCAAACCTTTGCCCACATGAGTGGAGGTGAAAGAGCTCAACCAACTGAGCATGGCGCCTCACAACAAAGTTAAATTAGAGGGATAGATGTCAAAATATTATCCACGGGACCGAGGATACATGAAAAATGGGGCTTATAGGATTTCAGCTCCTTTGTCATTAAAAAAAATTAGGCTTGTACAGCACAATCATCAATATGAACAACTGATAAAATTCTTACTATGTGAACTCCATTAGCCCTCCGTTTTAAGGAAATCACCAAATTTAGATTTCACACAACCAACTGAGCATGGCGCCTCACAACAAAGTTAAATTAGAGGGATAGGTGTCAAAATATTATCCAGGGGACCGAGGATACATAAAAAATGGGGCTTATAGGATTTCAGCTCCTTTGTCATTAAAAAAAATTAGGCTTGTACAGCACAATCATCAAAATGAACAACTGATAAAATTCTTACTATGTGAACTCCATTAGCCCTCCGTTTTAAGGAAATCACCAAATTTAGATTTCACACAACTGCACAGATAGATGAATTGTGTTAGAAACAATATTAGGTGTCGCCTTTGATTATAACTTTGAGAAAGGAAAATTCTTTTAGGATTCATCAATTTACTTTTGGGACCCAACAGTTATTTTGATTTTGAATTGTTCATTTCACCTCAATATGAATTGATAATTACTCACAAAAAGCATTTCGAAAAAAAAAAATTTCAATTATTCTCTCTAGATGCAATAGCTATACCCTGAACCTATAAACAATCCGTATTACCTTTTTTTGTTGTTCGAAATGAAGCACTTCATTAAACCCATAAAGGGAACAACATGGTACAGCCTAAGCAAGATACAACACTAGAAAACAAAAACATGCAGGAGTCATTCTATAGAAAACAAAAATCAATTATTCTCACTAGATGCAATAGCTATACCCTGAACCTATAAACAATCCGTATTACCTTATATATAGCTTTTGGGTGAGGTTCTGTCTCTTAATTGTTGAATCAGACTTACCAATTTGATTCAATGACTAACTAATTTGATTCAACGGTTAAGAGATAGAATCTCACCTAAAGGCCATATATAATGCCCTCACTATAGAATTCTTGCACGAAGGAGGATGAAACTACTAAACTCGAAGAAAAAAAAAAAGGTAAAACAGAAGAAACATCCAAATCAAGAGCACATAGCCCAGAGGCCCACTCCAAATACAATTAATGCCCAAAACCAAACATAAAGCCCCATCTAGAGCACTTGCGAAAAATATAGGACTTTTCTCATTTTAGTATGACATATTATACAATTGAGTTATATGGTCTATTTGGAGGGAAAAATCCAAAACTATTAGTGCGTTAAGAAATTTCTAAAACCAATTAGACAAAAACAAAACCCAAAAAGAATCCACTGCAATTGTAGCTATTTATAATTAGCTGTGGGACCTTCAACACACTCTACCCTACTTTGTTGTTATCAATGGCCACTAAAGACTCACTTGATCATATCAAGGGAATAACAGTATTTATTGTGTCAAATCATGGGCCTCCCCTTGAATTGTGCAAAGCATAGTGTTATGTATTGGCATTACATCACCTCCTAAAGTTGTTTAAAATGGATCAAGCTAATTTTAAACCTTAAATTTGCAATCAAATGGGTTCATTATTCACCTTCTTTAAACGACAAACGTGGTAAAAGCAAAGCGTCTTAAGTTTGGAGCCTCATGATTAGAGATTAGTGACATTTTTATATGATGCATAATTTCTTGGATTGTTCTAATCTGATCTCGATTTTTTACAGTAAATTTTGGCCCCCACATTTTTAGTGTTTGCCTAATTATTGTTATGCCCTGTAAAGTCATTGAGTAACTTTTTCAGTCACAAGGGGGAAAAAAAAGTTATTTTTTGAAGCTTTCGGCTTTTTAGGTTACTTTTTGGCATGAAACAGGGAACAGACTGCAGCTACTATTTTAGTACAGTCAAATGAGTTTCCAAAAGGAATTTTTTTTTTCTTTCTTTCTTATTAATTTTAGTATGAGGCAGGATGATAGATAGAGCCAGAGATTTTAGTAAGGGGTCCATGCTAATCCTTGTTTAGGATACCTTTTTCTGGATAGTGTTGAGTGTTTTATACCCACCTTGTAATTCGATTTATGATTTTTAATATAATTTTCCTCATACAATTTAGGGATTTCGAACCTCTGCCTATATGAGTGTAGGTCGACGAGTTCAACCAACTGAGATATACCTGGTACTTTATAAATTAGGTAATACATTATGTACATCCATGGTAATTATTTTTCATTGTTGAAGAAGCAATGAGCCGATAACATAACTTGAAATGAGGAGGACAATGATGAATTAATACACCACAAAACATGGTATACAAATAGAAATCATCAAAATCATAATAATACATATCAATGTATACACATGCATGGCCAAACAAAAAAAAATCATCAAATCCCTCATGAATTCCAGATTTTTCAATAGAATCCAATGAAGCCACAAATTATAACACAACTCTAAATCCATCAACACACCCACATATATATTATGGTGCTAACATTGAGTAGCCTTCTTTTCCTTTTTTTCGAGTATCTCTTTTGCTCTTGCACTAGTTATAATTTGCTATCCATTACGAAAATTCATTTTCTTATCCTTTAAATGATTGCACACCATCAGCAGAAAGATGATACCTATTCCTCGTATTTCCTCATTATATGTGAATTAAATTGGTTATAATTCGAAATTGTTCATCAATACATGCGCATGCCTCTGGTTACAAAGTAGACGATTATGGATTATTCCAAAACATTATTGAACAATCTGTCAATACACCCATGAAGAAAAATAACATTATAAGCTTATCTTTTGTTGCATATTATTCAACACATAATTTTGAACCTTATAGGGCAGTGGTATTTCTCTCATTATTAAAAGAAAAAGAATCTTGATTTCCACTGAAAAATGTGTATAATGTTTTTATCTCGTTTTGTATTAAATAAGAAATACTAGAAATTTGAAGATGTCATGCATGTGAGGCAGCTATTGATGGGAGAAAAGAGAAAAACATGATAAGTTTACTATTTAAATGATAAGTTTTTTTTGTTTTAAATTTTATATTTAAATTATAAGTTTATTATCCTTTTAACTCATGATTCTAAATTATTGTTTCTCAACATGTTTACTAATCCGTAATCGGGTTACGAGGAGTCGTCGAATTTGGGTAGGAATTGTATTGATTCCTTAGAAATTGTTTACTAAATTCTCATGAATCGGAATTAAAACTAGTTTGATTACTAAAATGCACTTGTTATAGATAAATTATAAGGTTCAAACGGATGATAAATTTGGAATTTTAAAATTTGTGTGAGGATATAATGAATAAAAAAGATGGATTCCTGATTTTGAATACCACCTACCACCCAAAACAGAGTCAAATTCCTCTAAAATCAGGAGTTAAATTCCGGATTTGTATGGCCCCCGCTTACCTTTTCATTCCGCTATTAGAGGTAATAAAGGAGTAATTCATAATCGAAATTGAACTCCTTATTTTGATTCCCATTATGGATTGATAAACATGCCTAGGGTACTTTTAAACTTTTTCAATGTTTCATAGTTTGATGCCTCTAGCTTTACTTAGGACCCTGTGCATTACCCTATATGGAAGATAAAGAAAAATTAAATAGAGGTACGACATGATGCCGTGTCTTCTTTAGTTTTAGGGGTCATTTCACTTTTATTTGTCGCCAACGCCATGCTGAGTGAGTGAGACTAGTACTTCAAATTCTTTCTTTTCTCAAAAAAGCTTAAATAACCCCTCTGATAGGGTAGTTGTTTCTTCTTTAATCATACAACATACCTTTCATTATAGTTAAAATCTCATCATAATTTAAATTACGTGATTCTGTTGGATATACAACTACTCTATCAAATTTGCAATTATAGTACAAATGGGCGGTGACAATTCCACTCCATTACTCCACCATTGAAATCTGCATAATTACCTACCAATTACTTTCATTATTTCACCAAAGGGATTGTAAATAGGGTGGGAAAAAAGAAAAAAAAACAAATTATATTTGAAAAGACATATGAAGCTTCTCCATGTAGAAACTATGTATCTTTTGAGTATAATATACAGAAAAAAACATTAAAAATATATCATATCAGTAATTAGAGCTCCTGTGAAGCTGTTGATTGTCTACTGCTCAAGCACACCCAAAAATAAAAAGAGAAGAAGAAGAAGATAAAACCAAACAGTCTTTCTCCTAGTATACATTTTATAGGAGATCTCAGAAACCAAACCTGAACAAACTAATTAAAAACATTGTCATATCAAAACAGCCCAAAAATATTAATTACC